AAAAAAAAATTGAATTACTGTTGTGAAAGCTTTATGTAACTTGTCTCTCTCACTCTCTTTCTCTGTTGTGTAGTTGAATGCGTGCATTGTTTCAGCTTAATAATATATCGATACAGTGTTATACCTTAGTTCTCGGTAGCAGGAAAAATGGATAGTATGAACGATAAAGTATTGTCAAAGATTTGTAAAAGATTATAATTACGATCTAATAAGTGTCAATTTATTTTTTAATAACCTTATATGAAGCATGACATGAGTGAAAAATGAATAGTATGAACGATAAAGTATTGTCAAAAATTAAGATTATAATCGATCCAATAGATTAATTTTCTAATAAATTATGCATTATTATAATATAATTATTTTATCTTTGAAATGTGTTATAATATATTAATACTGTTAGCAAAATAATTTATATAATCATATTTTATGGAAATAGGTGAGAAAACTGTTAAAGTGGAGGCCACATAGAGGAAAACACTCCGTGGACCGACCTTCCTTCAGATGGACCGACTATCTCCGCAAGATAACGGTGAGAAAACGGATGCAACAAGTAGACGATTGCATTGGTAGGAAAGCATTGAAATAGGCCTATATCCAGCAGTGGATCGGAATAGTCTGATAATGAATAATGAATATTTATCTGTAACAAATAAAAAGGTAATTTCTTATAAATGTATAATATAAGCATACTAGAGGGAGACATACAAAAAGCGTTTGTTTGAGCACCTTTTCCCATTCATGTTACTACCGTGATGCAGTTGTGTTTGCATGGCTGTGTTTCGGTTTGATGGGTGACAGTGAATTTACAGGGTACAGAGGAATAACATTTGAATCCTCAGGAATGGCAACGCATGAAAGATAGGCGAAACAGTATACTCTGTTATGTCCATGTACTGCTAATGTCTATAGGCGACGGTTACCACATTCCATTAAGTGGACTGTCAGCTTGTTTGCCATTCTAAGTTGCATATAAAATAAGCATTAATAAATATATAATAAAAATAACGTAACGGTAATAATGTAACAGTATACACAAACACTAAGTATAAGTTATTTAATTTGCTTAATATAGGGATAAAACAACCAATCGTCAAGTTAAATGCAGTTAATAACACTGATCATGCCAGAAACTAAAATTGTTTGGTGTAATCTTGCATGTTTTTAGATTAATTATTTACTGTGAAGAATCGGCCATAATGTTTGTATTGCACGAGACTCGTTAAATGATGCTTGCTTAAAAAACAAAAGTGCTTCTGCGCAATGAAGCCGCAGCGCATCGTCTTATCGGAAGCAATTACAAGTTGTTCACTTTATTAATTCTCATAACTACCCTTGCGACATCAAACGGTGCCGACGATGCGCGTGCGCCGCCCTCGCGCACTGGAACAAGTTATTAGACATGGTGGCTTTTCAAGATTAGGTATACAATGTTGCTCTCATAACCTACGAATAGTTTATGCCGTGTGTTATTTTAAAGATAATATGCTTGCCTGATGATAAATTATATTTATTTTTGATTACTGTAACAATATAGTGGTATATGTATTTATGAACTGTCTTGTTTCTTTTGTAAAACAATAATAACACAACAATAATAATACAAAAATGTTTATTATATTGTGGTTTCTACATTTGGCATAATAGTATAATATTTATGTTATAACACTCTATAAATATATTCTGTATAAAAAAATAAATATTCGTCAATAAGTAAATAAATTACGTTTTTAACTAAACCATTATATAATTACAGATAGTTCTTTTGCCTACGATTTTATCTATACTATCCCTACGACTGAGACTACGATGACTCGTTTTATGTAAAATTTTGCATGTGTGCCTGATAACACAAGTACCATTATGTCCAATTGAAATACGAATATATTACTACTTTATATTACTTTAATATTTATAATTAAACAATAAGTAAGGTAAGCTTATGTCGATTCCGCTTGTCGCTTATTTGTTGTACTACAGAAAAAGCTACTGTTTACCGTGCTGAAACCCTTGAAGACGTTTTAACACCACTCTCGGTCTGGCACATACAGTCTTTGATCTTCAGCGACACTTAATAATGCTGGATAATGTTTAGGTAACCGCCTATGCCACATGTCCTTTGACAGTTTGAAAATGTTACGTAAGTAGATATACTGGTTAAATAATTTACTTAGAAGATGTAGTCCTACATTTATCAAAGACAAATAACATTTCTCCCTTTATGAAGCTTATAAAATATCAGGCAAGATACGCGAAGCCGGGAATAAAATAAATCAGTATTCCAAAACAAAATTTACATGCATCGCGAGAGGTGAACACTGGAACAGAGGAGAGACTTATCTCGCTAAAACGATTCCCACATAAATAAAGCTCATCGGATATGAAAGTGTATTTACATAAGAAAAATATAAAGAGGCCTAAACGATAGGTCCATAAGGGCGGCGTACCGTGCGGGCCGGTGCTTGGGACGCCACGCACGTCCTACGGGAGCGCCCCGTCTTTAATAACAATACGAAATATCAGTTCGTTCCTCCGATCGCAAATCTACGTCAATAACATATCCAATAGTAGCGCTCAATTCATTTCGACATAATCTAATATAGCGGGGCACGTTTCCCGCCTAAATCTCCCGCCACATGTCGCCAAGATGGCCGACCAGGCGAAACGCGAAACTAAAGAAAAAGGAGATCACGAATCGGTAATATCTTTCGAGTCCATAAACTTAAACGTTTATTTGCAGCGATATTTTGTCCTTTTGCGGATATTGCTTTAGATATGTAAGCATCAGAATGTATGTAGAGTTTTATACGAACTTACAGGGAACTAGCATTTATTATTTAGACCTGCAAGCAATTACGATTAATTTTCTACTACGAGTATACGACTATTGGAAAATTGCATTTACCTAACTAAAAAACAATGAAGTGATTACCTAACTAGTAATTGCGATTCGCAGACTTACGATAAATAGGTGTAGAATTATTTATACACATACATATTAATCCTACAAAGATAATGTTATGTGATTTATTCAATCACTGATTTTGTTTATCCTTAAAACAACTAACAATTATAAAATATTATATATTTTTAGTTTTTGTTTACCTTTTAATAATATGTGCTTTATATCTTATTCCACATTATGAACCACATTAGATAGGTGTCAATATGTAGGTATTTCTATAATAAGACAATACGAGTATATGTTTATAATAATATCATCGAATTATACAGATGCACTTGCAAAAAATTTATGGCCTAATATTAACCGTAACATTAATATTACTTCTAACATTATTGAATACAGTGCATTATAATACACATACCTAAATACAAAACGTGATTTTCCTACTGTGAGCGACACTGCTGTAAATATTACTGTAATTTCGTAGTCACTGGTAGTGCTGGCAGTACAAATAGAAGCACGATTGGCGCAATTAAGCCGGCCTTTCTAGTGCACTGATTGATCAATCATCGAACACCGACAATCGAAGGAAGCGCTGCTTTGTCCATGGGGCCGCATTGTCTGTGTACGTGTTTCCCGAACTGTCATAGAGCATGTACTAATATAATCTAGATGCGACTATTGCGCGATGTTAATTGTGTATCAACCTACAATATTTTGAGAACAAATTAGGGTTTAAAAATAGTTGCCTAGTGAAATAATGTAACTGACGCATTTTTTATTATTATTTACATATTATAAAAAATGCATCATAGATTAATATTTAAACAGCGTTACATTCACCGTATCTAATTGAGATTAAGTATTTTTGATTAACTTTATTTAGCTTAACTATGTTTAACGTCAAAAAAATGTATGTATGTACTTACCTAGCTATTCTGTAGAAACGACAATAATTCTATAAAATAGTTTTATATTAGTTTCTATATAAATATGAAAAATAAAAAAAAATGACACATCTGTGTTCGGTACTATGTTTTTTACTCTGTGACGTGTAATCGCAAGCGATTTTGATTGATCCAGTCATTGTGTCGGAGAGTATAGTGATTTCAAGAAGATTCGTTCTACTGGACTGCCGACGATAGATATCTATCTACGTTTAATGCTGTTACTTTAATTAATGAACATTTTTCGTGATATTTCTACAAATATAGGTATTATGTATATAGGTACATGTCATGTATTCATCATCATCATCAGATCAGCGATTAACTATCCACTGCTGAATATAGGCTTCGCCCACTGACTGCCATAAGTTACGGTCCTAAACCACCTGCATTCATTGATTCCTTCCAATGTACATGTGGTGGTGACTCCATTTAGTAGGGGATCGTCCTACACTGCGTTTTCCCGTATGGCACCGCCACTTAAGATCTTTTTTTCCACATTAATTGGCGGTTTTTTAAGCAATGTGACCAGCCCATTGCCACTCCATCTTGCTTATCCTTCGGGCTATGTTCGTCAGTTTGGTTCTTTTGCTGATATGCTCATTTCGGATACTATCACGCAAAGAAACTTCCAGCACAGCTCCCTCTATAGCTTGTTGAGTAACTTGATATATAGATTTTGCATACGGGCAACCATGTAGGACTAGGTTTCGGTTTCGGACGACACGCAATGGTTAAAGAACTTCAAACTTTAAGGTATTTTGAATGAGAAGATGTGGCGTAGTTTTCCAAACGTTGCCCAGCCGAGTTTGATTCTTCCGTTGACTTATCGGTCGAGGTTGGACTATTTGGACAAGTTTTTTTTTCTTAATGGGTGGTAAACGGTAATCCCGCCTGCGCTATTGGTATACATTGACGGGGTACCAGTGAGGAACGATAGGTGAGGATGATTTGTTGAATTTGTCACAATGGGTTAACTGACCTGTTAACCCATTGTGACAAATTCAACAAAAATTTGCCATGATAGTTTCCAGGGGGAACCGCGTGGAGGTCGAACTGATAAGGTATATTGCTAGCAATGGGGCTATTAAACTCCGTTACTTATAATCCCTACCCCCATTTGGACAAGTTGTCTTAGGTATACATACTCGTCGACAATTTCTAACGTAGTGTCCTCAATGGTGATGGGTATAGGTGTGACATGAATGTTAGACATGATTTTAGTCTTGTCCATGTTCATCTTAAGACCTAGATGTTGAGAATCATCATTGGGGTCATTCAAGCAATTTAGAGATTCTGCCATTATTACTATATCATCGGCAAATCGAACACGAGTAATGAAGATGCCATCGTTGTTTATACCATATCTTTTCAAAGAAGTTTGGAAACAACTTTCAATGCAGCTGTGAAGAGTTTCAAAGATATGACGTTCTTTGCCGACGTTTTTTAAAAGATAAACAACTTGAAAACGTATATGAAAACTTTTCTTCGTTGGTAGCAGATATGAACATAATATCCCTGATTTGCAGATGACTTAGAATATGGCATCAGATGTTGTTATAATATGGCATCGCATGTTTGTTCCCTGATTTTATATTAAAAAGGAAAAATTATGAATATTATTATATTTCAATGGTAAAGCAGTTGTGTCTGGATGACAGTGTTTTGGTTTGAAGGGTGGGATATGACGTGAATTTACAGGGTACAGAGGAATAACACCTGAGTCCTCAGGAACGGCAACGCATGGGGGGTATCATGGGCGAAACAGTATAATCTGTTATGTCATGTCTATAGGCGACGGTTACCACTTTCCATCAGGTGGGCCGTCAGCTTGTTTGCCATTTTAAGTAGTATAAAAAAAATAAAAAATAAATATTTGATTGAGAACCGCATATGTGGAATAATTGCAATGAAATAAGAAATAAATTAAGTGCTCCAAAATCATGCTAATTATCTGAGCCTCAAATTAGGACAGGTAACTTGGGTTATGAGCAACTAGATGACTAGACAATGTATATTCGCGAGCAAATTCTTAATTATATAGGTATGGTTTTCAGTCTAAATGTAGCAGTTTTACATTCTAGTGCTTTCGTTCTGTGCTCTTTGTTCTTTTTACGTAAATGCACCATAATGTTATATATGAACATCTAAATAACAATATATAGTGAGGTCCGTCTGTCGGCAAGATGTAAGGGTCGTTGGTCACGTCGCGATTGCTATTGATTTCCATTTAATTCGGCGCGTGCTCTGCCGGCCGACCCGACCGCCACTGCCTACCGGCATTGTCCAGTGACGACAAATTGTACCTCGTACCTCCATCGTTCTGTTGATTGTAGGGTACGCTACCATCGAGTCCTACATTATGTTGATGTTTTGTTTTTCTAACGCTATGAAATGGATACTTCTTTTAATGAATTTGTACTATTACAGGTAGTGTTTGTGATGGTTGTAGTGAATAACATATGTGCGACTCCGTTACTATACTCTGGATATTGAAGGCGCTGGTTGTTAAGGTGAAAATATATCTCAGTGAAATACAATATTGGGCATTTATTGTCAACGTAAAAGTATAGTTTTAGGTACAATCATTTTGATAGGAATTTGAGCAGAGAGAGAGAGGACGCTATTGCCATTTTATAAAGTTATATAAAAAGTTGTATTGGATTGTCAACAAAATGAAAAGTATAACATATATAAATAAATTTTTTACATCTAAACTGAAATTTGTAGTTCATACATATTAATTTAGAATTATGAATAAATTAAACAATTAAAAATATGTTTCTATTTATTTACTTTAAACATACTCATAATGAACGTACCTAGGTGCTCTTATATCTTAAACGATAAGTACCTACTGAATTTTAGTTTATATCTAGTTGTTTTCAAATACTATTGTATTCCTCTATAGTTAATAACAAAACAATCAAGTAGCAATTTCAGTAGTACCTAGGTAGTAATTGGAGGCGGTGTCCATTTGCAGGCATAGTATTAGATGAAAGCGCCTGTCCCCTTTTTTCGAGACAATGGAGCGCGTGACTCGATTGCACTGCGATCGCGCCACTTCTGTTCTCTACCGACTGACCACTGATTGCATAGAATTTTCCATAAACAATATCATCAAATTCAATTTACTCTAAATTATCTCCGCATCAGTATTTTTTTAAAGAACCGTACTGTTTTAAGTTAACTAAACGTAAACTTTTATTTGATCAATTACTTTTTGATACCCTTTTTTGGGGTAAATTGTTTTTTTATTAAGCCCAGTATATTACGAAACGGCTCACGACGCCCAAAAATTAATTGATCGGATCTCGTTTCTCGGAGGAAACAGCGCAGAAGAGTTTTAATTAGCGAGAAAAAAGCACCACAAAACTTCCAACGTAAAAAACCGGGAGACAAGGGTGGGCGTAGCGAGGAATAAAAATCTCCCGCTCGTAATGCGGGCAACATTTGTGTTAGGAAGACTCTCAGTAATGGAAGACAAATTTCAATATAATTTGCAATACATAAGCGTGTTACTTTAATAGCCCAGAACCACCCTTCAAATTAAACGGGGCTTAAGTTTTATTTTATTTTTTCCTGCTCGGTTCAATCGTGTTGCGGGCGCGTAAGCGACTCGGGAGCCGACGCAGCGCCACCGGTGCGACCGGGGAACGTCGCGCGATCGCACGCCGCCCGGAAAAAATATAATCCTGCCAAATTAATTGCTCCTACAGGCAATAGTGGAGCGGCCGCGATGCCGCCAAATCAAATTAAGGACGCGCTATAAAAACCAAATTAGTGCCCGCTTTAACCGTGAGAGGGTATTTAGTTACAAGACGTTAGTTCAAATCCCGCCATTTTCATTAACAATAAATATCCTCTCGCAGCCGCGCGGAATCCTTATTGTTTTACTTTTTACACCCTTGTGTCCCGAGTGGGATATAGCGCGCGGACGACGTCTTCTACTGAGGCCGGCTAATTTGTTCTTTTTGTTTACTTACTTACAGGGCTAAGGTAATAAAAATTTGTGTTGCGCGAATTGTATGGACTTTAAATTTTATATAGCCGTCGGTGCTGGGTCGAGTTTTGCATTTAATTGGGAAAAATTTAGGGTCGGTGAAGCGCTTCTGCGCGGATTCTTAAACTAATTGGACGGCCGTTACAACTTTCTTTCCCTTAAAACGTTTATGCAATCAATGTCGGGATAGAAAGGTTTATCAATAAAAGACACTTTAGGTATACCTATAACTTTTTTTATAGCCCAGATTGCGGTTGAATCCTATTTAAACCGAAACAAATCCGTAGATAAGTCGGTCGGGAGTCGTTATTTCGAAAGCTCTTCCCATATTTCAACCACAGATGCAGTTATCACGAAGGGGTGAATTAGATGTATTTTTTTCTGCGGGTTAGGCCTTAATTACAGGCGATGCACTAAATTAGAGGGCGGCGGTGATCTAAAACAATAAGCTCGAACCGTCATTAGTGAGTCGCTGCAGATTATTGCCGTTGCACCTTCGTAATGTGGCGACATTTATTATCTCCACATTTAATTTCCTATTTATAACAGTGTTAAAAAAGTATGAGATCGTGATGGATACAATGTTATTTCGAGTAAATTAGGATATTAATGTGATTATACGAGCAGGTAAGTGGTACCTAATGATAATGTTCTTTACCAGCTGTTTTAGGTTAAATCAGTAACTCGTTCTACAATCCTCTTGTTTAATCTTAATAACTGTTGATTATGTATAACTTTTGCATAGATTGTAATTTTTTTCAAGTTATTTTTTTAATTTCACTATATTATAATAATATTAATTATATTATAGCCTTGAAGTCCTGGCATAGAATGGACCACACTTTCCTTTCCCGTGGGTGTCGTAAGAGGCGACTATGGGAATTTAATAGTCGAGAATGGGCAGCAGTGTCCCTCTTAAGATATTACCAAAGCCTAACTGCGGTTGTCAACCCGTCTGCCAAGCGTGGCAATTACCAACAAAATCCCCCAGAGGAAGGCCTATGTTTAGCAGTAGACGTATCGATTCGGAAATATTGCTGCTGGAAGTTGATTCCAAAAAGTCATTTTTCGTGGAAGAAAGTGGCTTAAAAACCCACGGTGAAAGACCGCCATTCGTCCAGTTAGGGGCTGATATCATGATGATGATGATAATGAATATAACAGAATGAGTCACTAAAGAGTGATCGATATTCAGTCTTCGATATTTATTTACGATTAAATATTTGAAAGTCTGTAAAGAAAACAAAAAGAAAGAAAAAAAAATATAAGCTAAAAGTAATATTTATTACCTACGTATCTATATAAATTTCACAATACTATATAACAGTGGATGTTAACATAGTTCCGGCAACATAATTATAGTTTATATTTTAGCGTTTAATCGTCAGGTTGGTAACGTTAGTCATTACATTACTGAAAAGCCGCTAGGTCGAATATCGTTATTATTATATTAAAATGACCACGATGATTGCAGGAAACATGTTATTTAACATTGACCGATACGATCTTATCGGTAGCTATCCTAATACTCGACGTGTGGATATTATCATGCTCGCCGAAATCGGCCGGATATACGTGGATATTCGATACATGACTGCCTTTACTAATATACAGGGATGACGTTGATATTGTAATTTAATATTTTTATTTTTACTGCAATTTGAAATAAATTGGTTTAAATATCACGTAATAAATGAAACGCAATGTGTCCTAACTTGATTTCAAAATCTATTTATTTTTTGAAGTCGGTTAGGGTTAGGTAAAAGTAATTTTTCTCTACTTTTTGAGTCTATAGGTACAGGTGAATTGCAATCTAATACACAGTCTAGGAATAGATATATTAATATTAGTAACACGTAGAAAGTAGGTATATAAAGTGGGTCGAGATGATTTAGGTTAATTAATGTCATCATCATCATACATACATGATAACATATGCATGAATGACACAGACTTGTATAAATGAATAAAGAAGGCAAAAAGAGAAAAAAAGGAATTTAAAGACAGAGATATTGTCACCGTGTTGATGGTTATTAATGTTTATGTTATTCATCGTATGAGCTTTTACTGTCCTCTGCTGAATATAAGCCTCCCCCTTGGGAGGTTTGCCAGTAGTTGCTACGCATAGCAGGCGGATTGGCAACCGCTTTAGAGATGTTTTCAGAGGGACTCTGCTGCCGATCTCTCGCCTTTCCTTACTAATTAAATTTTTATAGTTTATCTAAATAATCACGTTAATTTCCGTCTCTTATAAAATGTGTAAACTGTTTCACATTGTTTTTGACATGTTACAATAGTTA